GTAACTGCGTAACTGAGCAACTGAGTACATGGGCAATTGAGCAAATGCGCAACTGAGTAACTTGGCCACTTGGCAACCGGTGGAGTGAGCAGTTGTGCAGCTGAGTAATTGGGCAATTAGTCAACTAAGTAACTGGGCTACTAAGCAACTGGACAACTGTGCAACTGGGCAACTGTCTAACTGGGCAATTTCGCAACTGAGTAACTCAACAATGTGACAATTAGGCAACTTGGCAGCTGGTCAACTGAGTTACTAGGCAACTTGGTAACTGGGTAACTGGACAACTGCGTAACTGGGCAATTGGGCAACTGGTCAACTAAGTAACTGGGTAGCAACTATATAATAAAGTCTCGAAGTTCTTTTCTTTAGACACACTGAATGCGCAGCTGGTAAGGGCATAACACTTATTAATCTGACGCTTACATTCTAGGCTCACATCTCCTTCTTTCTTTTTCATCTTTCCTCGCTTCGTCAAAATAAAAGAAAAAGAGACATAGGCGATGATTATAAAAATTCAACCACAGCTAACTGTAATTTTTTTACTTGTTCTTGTATATTTCTGCAATCACTGCAGATACCGATCAATATGGGATTCTGGAACGATTTAACTCTTTTCGTCTCTATCAATTTTTTCCCCACTGTTCCGGAAATATTTAAGGTCAAGTTTGACAATAAGCGCAGACGTTTATCATAGCAACGTAGTAACTGTAGCTTATACTTTATAACATATGTTAATCTGAAATATAACATAAATATTTGAAAGTGTGTTGAAAAATGAAATGTAAATGCCACGCCTACAGTTAATAAAAAATATTACAATTTTGATATAGATTGAAGGCATTAGATATTAATAGTTCAAGAAATGGCGAATATTATTCACTCGTTTACTTACTCGTTTTTCTCAGTTAGTATATGATTTCTTTGTTTAATTTTTAGTTAAACTTTTTGACATCGAAAAAATTGTTTTTTTTTTTTTATATGTTAGTTTTTCTACTTATAATTTTTTTTTCTTATGTTTTAACATATTTTGTTTTTTAAATTTTTTTATTTTTTTTTTAAATTAATTTCTTAAATATAATGTTTTTTATTCGACGATTTCTGGTATTAATTGGTTATAGTTTTATATATTTTTTTATTAACACACTTAATTTTTTAAAAATCATTATTTGTTTTTAACTTTTCAAAAGTTAATTAATTTTCTTTATACACATTTTGTCATTTAATTGTTAATTTTTTGTTTTTAAAGTGATCTCGGAAACTTTTTCGTTTTCTTTTAACGTGACATTCAATAACAAACGTTTACAAATAGATACATTAAAGAATTGCATAGCATAAAGTGAATATTACTTAAGGGAACTATTAGCTGAGTTTCACTACAAAATGAGTGTATGTTTCATAATTTCTTTTGCGTAAATAATTTCAAAATATTTAGAGGATAATGTGCATATACATGAAATAGAATTATTTTTAAATATATCTTTGAACGTAACATCGATAGTTGCATATAGCGTATATAGCGAAACCAAAATCGCAACAAAGATCAACTAAATCGTTCATAATCAATAAATTTTCTCTTTTTATTTTCCAATTTCATGCACAAGTCTTTAGACGTAAATTAAACAGCGGGTTGTTTACAATTTCATTCCGCACTTGAAAGTATGCAATAATTTCTTTCAATTTTTCATATCTGTGGGCTGTGAGTTAAATGCATTAAGCAATAATACGCAAGATGCTTGCGATTTTTTTGCTTATTTTTTGTTTTTCCATATTTCGAATTTTTTTTTTAAATTTTTTTATTTTATTTATATAACTTTTTCCCTTTTTTTAATTTTTTTGTTTATATATATATTTTTTTTAATATTTCTATTTGGTTATCGTTCCGCGAATGTCTTTTCCTTATCCTTTTTATATCTCTTATTTTCCTTCTTTTGAAACATTTCACACGTTGGCTTAAACTGCTACTAAAATATTTTCATCAGCGTAACAGAGTTTTATATTATTAAAAATCTAAAGGACTTTGATGTGTCCTTTAAATTTATACACGTGTGTGAGTATGTTTCACTTTTAACACGTTAGTGTTATACAGCATGTTATACAATGAGAGAGAATAGAGAATTGAAAGAGGAAAAAAAAGGAGACAAACACAAAAAGAGTGAGAATTTTATAACTGTTATAAAGTGTTTGCAAAGTGCGACAAATCAACAGTTAACCCTCTACAAACAAATTTTTTAATTGCAATAACAAAAATAAATAAACTTTAAAAACTCGATAACGAGTTTTCAGACTGATAGACTTTGTACGATATATCTTTTTTTGTAGATGTTACTTTCGCTTTGTTTTTTTTCTTTTTTTCTAATAATTATATTTATTATTATAATTATATCATTAATTTAACTTATACTTATTTATTCACTCACCGCTATACCTATTAAGCACGTAACTGATATTTGCATCCTAATTAGTGCTCATTTACAATAATAATTTGTTAATAAAAAACAAGAAAATTAAACTTAATAGATTCGTTATTTCACGCGCTCTGTCTCTCGTTTTGAAAAAACTTAAACTAAACGTGACTGCTTTCCCTTTATAGAGTAAGTATGTGTGCATATGTATATGCATTATTTATTATTAGTTATGTTGGTATGCAGTAAGGGCTTCTTCTATTTTGCATGTATGTGTATGCATGTGCATTATATGTTTGCTTAAAGAATTATACTTAAGTGACCTTTACACTCGAAAGAGGGTGTAACGTTGTGCAAAGACGATTGCAAACAAAACAAAGAATTCACAAAACAAATCTATTAAAAGATTTTCATATCGAATAAAGTCAATGCAAAGTAAAAATACAAAGCAAAAAACAAAAAAAATAAAAACAAAAATATATTTATATTAAAGATTATATATTAAGAAATTGCAATCAAAAATGTTGTGTAAAAAACATTACAATAACTAAACGAAAAAATAACTCGAAACTATTGTATGCATAAACGAATCTTATATACATATATCTATACGTATATACATATATCCATTGTAGCCGGAACCAATGTTTTTGAGAATTGTAAACTTCTTTTATTAACACTACGCTTGCGATACCCGTCAGTTTGGGATTTCAAGCTTTCAAAAATTCTGCTTAAGGAAGTAAATATAACAGTTAAAGTCATGCATTGGTTTTTAATGATATAGTATAGCAAATGTATCTATGTCTAATGTTTCTCAATTTCCTAATGCACGTTCGCATTCTAACAATTAGTCTCTATTAAAGAAAGACCTCATGATGAGATCGTTAAGAAAGCCGAAATGTATTTTGACCTCCTTGACATACATCATTCTATACAAAAAGGCCATCGAAATGTTAGAGCATCTGTCGCTTTTTGCAAGAGATTATAGGACGATGAATATAAAATTGAATTTCTCTTCCTTTTTCCCGACAATTATTGACCGTTTTATCGATATATCGAAAATAGTTCCACACATACTCTTCGCTCAGCTCGTCTAATCACTAATGATGTCCGTTAAATCAAACCTTTAATCCGCTATCGTAGGCGTTGAACGGCAAGACACATTGGTCAAACTCTTAAAATTGACAAACCAACGATCTGAAGATGTTCGTTGCTCTGACGACATATTTTGAATTTCAACTGGACACCTGAACTCTTAAATGCACAAACTTTAGTTTTGAACTTAGAAAAGAAAAAAAAAAAAAATCTTTTCCATAGGAATGTAGTCATAGGTTACGTAAAAAATAATTTTAAAAGTTCAAGTAATAATACCGAATATTTATTTTGAAAAAAGTGGTAGGTGAACTTTTGGCAACAGTGTGCATTTAAGAAAAAATGACGTAAAAATTCATTAAAGACATAAAAATATGAATATAGTATTGGGTCCAAAAAATAAGACCAATTAAATTGTGCAGATATATTAAAAATCAGTTTTGTTTTTTTTTTTTCCAAATTGGTGACGCTGTGACAGGCGTCTGTGTCAAACCGATCAATCGAACGAATATCGTACTAAAGATGAACCAAGACCGAAAAGACCGGTTGGTGGAAAGACAACTCTTGGTTTTTGCATCACGATAATCCGCCATCTCACATCGAAACCCCTTCCGCTACAAATTCAACCCACACCATTCCATCGCATTCGCTTGCTTTAATTCCATATGATTTCCGGGTACTCTTTAAACTCAAAAGACGGCTCCAGGAACGCCGTTTTGATTCGATTGACGGCTGAATTAAAGATAGCTTTCAAGGCCATTTCGAGAATTGACCATAATAACTTGCTTGGACGCTTGCAAAAACATTAGCATAAGTGTATTGTATCTGGGATTACTTTAGTGGCGACAAATTATATTTGGAATAATAAATAAATTTAAAAAAGAAAAAAATTTAATTTCGTCAAACGTTTCGGACACAGTAAAGCAAATTTCTTAGAATATGAATATAAAATATATAGAAAATCAATTTTACTTATCCATGCGAACCAATTAAAAGTGAAATTATACCGTCTGTCTATGAATAGATGCAAGTTGAAGTTGAAGTATCTCATGAAACATGAGTTTTACATTTATCAATGCATCATGTTATTAGTTACGGCAGCGGTTTTGTTTACGCCTAACATATGCTTGACATGTGTATGATTGTTCCAAATGATAAGTAAAAGAAGAAATAAACAAAGAAAATCATATGCGTCTGCGAACGAATCCCTTTCTACCCATTATCGTTGTTCTAGAAGAGATTGAAAGGGGAGGGGAAAACCTAAAATTTCATATTGCGAGGGCGTGGCTGATTTTTTCTATTTTTGTAAAACAAAAGCGGAAACTTATTTAGAATCTCTGAAGTAGACGTTTCCCTTCTTGTTGCAACTTACGTACGTTTACCACAACAATTAACAGACAGATGGACAAACGGATTGATTAACATGTCTGGAACTGTTCCGATTTAATACTAATTAATAATAATGTCGAGTTTATTGCGTCTTTGAAGTTCCTTTCTCTGGATGCTGTAAACGTTTTAACAAGAACACGAAGTTTTAATATTCTATAATATTTAGCCGGTGTGGCGGATTCACGCCCTAGAACAAACAAAAAATACAAATTCTTATCGTTGCATCGATTGTGAGTTATAAGCAACGAGGAAAAAACCAAATATTTTTTAAATTTTTGAAAAACAGAAATATTCTAAGATTATATTGTGCTGTCGGCAATGGCTCAAGTGTCGATATGACTCAATTTCCATACCAATCGACGCATAGAAATTTCCAATATTTGCACTGATTCTGAAGAAGATAATTGCGTTTTTGCAACTGGGAGAACGCTTCGCACAGACAGCACACAAACAGGCAAACGGATGGACAGAGGAACATGCTTAAGCCAATTTAGAATTTAATGCTGCTCGAGCGTATATGTAGGATTCCAAAGATTCCTGCCGGGTGTTGCAAACGGTTTAACGAAATGCATATATCGCTCGGGTATGACGTGTTGAAAACTCTCAAATATTCATATTTCTTTACATCCATTTGCAAAATGTGAAAGTGAAATTAATATTATTGTCTCATGAAGAAAGAATGCGAAATGTTTTCCTAAGCAATTTGTCTTATGAAAGTTTTCGTTTTGATATTCTTTTACTAAAATTGCCAAAACAATTAGATTTTTCATTAAATACTCGTTAGCCTTGCATATTTTCCATGTCCATTCGATCGTTCATATGTTGAAAGCAAAAGTATACTAAATTTATTAAATATTTTGTTAGTTACACTATAAATGGTTGAAAAAAAAAAAAAATATATATATATATATATATATATATAACGACTTTTACTAAAGACTTAAAGTGATATAAACATATGTCACAATGTTTTCATGAAGCCATGTGATATATTTGAGTATATTCTTATTAACCATATAATCCATAATGATATTCCATGGAAGCTAGTCATTATTGTTAGTAGTAATCAATTTATAGTTACTCTGCACATTTT